GAAACCTGGCATGTCCAGAGACTGTAGCACCTGAACAACAACAGTCAAAACAATGAACACAAAGCACTTGATTAGTGTGAAGAATTATAAAACATACATAACAACAAAAGGTCTTGAAGCCTTCTTCCATGCCAGGCACCATGCCAAGATTTTTGCCTGCATTATTTATTTCATCCTTCCTCCACCCTTACAAGGTAGGAGTCACCATCCTCATTTACAGAGGAGGACACTGAGGCTTAGAGAAGGTACATCACTTGCTGGTGGAGGACATCAGGCACTGGTAGAGGTGACATGAGAAGACCCCAAGTCTGTTTGGCCTGCAGAGCCCACCCTCCTACCCCCTGCACTCTCCTGTCTATTGATCTAATTTCTAAGAGCACAGAGTGTAACTTGCTGCTGGTAGTCTACCTCGTAGGCTCCTTCTTCATGGTTTTTCAATGTTTGGTTTGTCCTTTGTGTAGCATTTTTCAAACAGGCGGCTAAACACAGACACGCTTTCTGCTCTCACAGTGAGTTCCTGATGCTCATCTCGAAATGGACACATTCATTAAATGGGCAAACATGTCTACGAAATCCCAAAATATCCAGGGCAAATGGTCACACACCAGCATCATGCTCTTTGTTGAATCTTAAAACACAAAGATTTTGAGAAAAGCTCGTGACGGTTGACGACTCCAGAGGCCAAGCCTGAAACTCCAAGTGTATCCCATCTCCATTCTGGACCTCAGAAGGCACAAGCAGCTGTGAAGGTGCCCATTTAGCAACTCATAGAACAATCTACTCTTTCTCCAATCCTCTGCCACACACATACCCCAATCCACCAAGAAAACTTTTTACAATATCCTACTAATACAGGGACAAAGACTTGATGGTTTCACTTCAAGCTAATGCTTCCAAAGCACAGACATTTGACTAGAAACCATTTTNTTTTTTTTTAGAGCCATTTTAGGTTCACAGCAAAACCATGCGAAGGTATGGAGATTTCTCTTGTACACTCTGCCCCCACGCATGCATAGTGGTGGTGTCTTTTTAATCAAACAACATGTGATGTAAAAACCCAGTTTCAACCAAAGAAATGGAAAAGTCTTAAATGGCATCCCGTTGAGGTCTCAGCTGCCCTGCAACTCTCCACTGACTGGATTCCTGTCACCTCTCTGTGGAAGGCTGGGGACAAAATATTGCCTTGAAAATCAGCCACACATAGTCCTTCCTAGCAATGTGTCTGACAGGCAGAGTTTACCTCTTCCTTTATTGGCAGGAAACCTGGCATGTCCAGAGACTGTAGCACCTGAACAACAACAGTCAAAACAATGAACACA